TCTGCCCACATAAAAGAGGTGTATGAAAACATATCTTAACTTCTGGAAAAAAATAAGAACAACTATTTGCGGTAACATATTTTTTATACATTACCGCAAAGTATTTATGGTGTATGGAGTATTTGCTGTGACAAAATTATTAGCTATTCTAATGAGAATGCAGTCAGGATACACAAAGTACAGCTGCTTCATATGCGAGTGGGACAGCAGAGATAAGAAGCAACACTACATCAAGAAGAATTGGCCAATCAAAGACAGAATGCAGCCAGGAAATAAAAATGTTCTTCATCCAACTTTGGTAGATTTGGTAGCTATAAGGGTCGGTGGAGTGCTGCAATGCAAGCAGACTACTGCTGGACAATTCAGCGTGATTTGCCAACTCAGAAGTATAAATAAAAGTCAACAGTGAAAAAATTATACCGTAAACATGTGCAACAAATATTTTATTATACTTCGATATTACACTTCAAATTGAATTTCGGTTAACTATATAATAATGTATATGTATATATATATATATATATATATATATATATATATATATATATATATATATATATATATATATATATATATATATATATATATATATATTGATGTCAGGTCAGGTTTATCCTGCTACTGGTAACATGTAACCCAGTACAATCTGCTTCATGTCCTGCTGCCTTGTAGGATATGTCTTTTTAGGCAAAGGCTAGAAGATGCAAACTCTGACATAAAACAGCCCCTGCCTTGGGGCTCTTGGTTGAGTAAAGGCTAGAGATGGTGTCTCGTTAAAATACTCATCTTGGGCAGATGTTACATGCATCCAGCTGCTGTCTTGTAGAAAGCCTCCTAGGCAAAGACTTAAGGGGTAAACAGATTCTATCTGTTGACCAGCCTCACACCCCTTCCTCATCTATTAGTCTGGCGCAGATGTATTTTTAATACATTGTTTCCAGTTTAGGATGTTGAACGCTGGATCTTCTTGACTCGATTCATGGGTTTTGCTTGTGTCTCTGTTTTTATGACTAAGCAACTCATTCTATTATCTCCAAATGAGGGTACAGCTCTAAAACTCAGTTTTATGGTTCTGAGGTCGGCTGGTAGTCAGGTTTCCCGAACTCTGTGGTAGCTCTCAGAGAGGCTGATTCCATCAACAGCTGAAAAATATCAGAGTACTAACAGTGCCATGTTGCACATGGATGGTGTCCCTGTTTGTACTTTTGGTGTGCATTGCCAAGGCCACATTGGAGCCCTTTGTTACGGCTTAGGGTTTATTAGTGGAAATGAGGCAATTGCTTGAGCTATAAAACAGTGTACTGAGTACTATCTATGTTTCGAGTCAAGTTCTTTAACAAATCTAAAAATGAATAAAGTAACAAAAACTATAAAACACAAAAAACCACAGTCATCTCCAAGTTTGCTAAACCTATCATTCACCAATATTCGTGGTCTTCGAAGTAACTTTTCTTTATTGAGTCTTACCTCTTGCAAAGTTCACCAGACCTACTTGCTCTTTGTGAGACTAATTTGAGTTCAGCTGTTTCATCTTGTGATCTTAGTGTTGATGGTTATCTTCCTTTAATTCGTAAAGACTCCAATAGTCACATGCTTGGCCTGGGCATTTACATTCGTAAGAATTCACCCATTTGTTGGGAAACTAGGTTTGAATCCACAGGCTACTCTTTTATGTGCTTTCGTTTAGCACCACTTCACTCTATCACCTTTCTCTTTGTCCTATATCGCTCTCCCTCATCTCAAGATTGCACTCTTCTTGATGTTATTTCTGATTATATTGACCAAGCCCTCATTCTTTATCCATCAGCCAATATTGTTGTTGTCTGTGACTTTAATGTTCATCACACTGAATAGCTTGGCTCTAGTGTCAGTGACTCTGCAGGCATTAAGGCCCACAACTTTTGTCTTTCTCAATCCCTAACTCAAATAGTCAACTTTCCAACTCGCTTTCCAGACAACCCGAATCATTTGCCTTCTCTACTCGACTTATGTCTTGTTTCTGATCCTAGTCAGTGCTCAGTTTCTTCACACTCACCCTTAGGTGTGTCTGATCACGGTTTGGTTTCTCTAAAACTATTATCTCGTTCTTCTTTACTATCAGAATCCCTCTATCATCGTACATCTTACAACTACCTTAAAGCTGACTGGGACTCTTTCCGTGATTTTCTTCGTGATGGCCCCTGGATAAAAATCTTCCGTCTCCCTGTTGACAAATGTGCTCCTTACATAACTTCGTGGATTCAGGCTGGCATGGAATCCTTTATTCCCTCTCGACGATTCCAGGTCAAGCCTCACTCTTCTCCATGGTTTTCCTCACATTGTGCTGCTGCAATTGCCAATCGAAACCATTACTTCCATATCTATCAGCAAAACAATTCTCCAGAAAACAGACGTCTGTTTATTCTGCTAGGAACCATTGTAAAAAGGTTTTGTCTAACGCCAAAGCTCGCTATTCTCAGATCATGAAATCTTCTATTTCATCACAAAAATTAGGCTCTCGTGACTTCTGGAGAATCTTTAATAGTATCAATAATAAGGGCAAGTCTGTAATTCCACCTCTTTTGTATGGTTCAGACTTTGTCACCTCACCTAAAGACAAAGCTGAATTGTTTGCCAAGAACTTTTTATCAATATCATCTCTTGATGCCACTAGTTGCGTTCTACCTGATATAGTCATCAAACAGGTTGATCCATTGCTACAGCTTGCGGCCCGGACAACATACCTGTTATAGTCTTGCAGAAGTGTTCTCCGGAGCTGTCGTCTATCCTTTCAAAACTATTTAACAAGTGCTTATCAGAGTCTTGTTTTCCAGCCTGCTGGAAAGCAGCATCTGTTATCCCTATTTTTAAAAATTCTGGAGAGTGATCTGATTCATCTAACTACCGTCCCATTAGTCTTCTTCCTATCATAAGCAAGGTTTTTGAATCTTTAATTAACAAACACATAATCTCTCATCTCGAATCTCATAACTTACTTTCTGATCATCAATATGGACTTCGATCTTCTTGTTCTACGGCTGATTTGCTGTCAGTAATAACTGATAAGTTTTATTGCGCTTTAGATAAAGGTGGAGAGGTTAAGGCCATCGCTCTTGACATTTCTAAAGCGTTTGATAAAGTTTGGCATGCTGGTCTTCTCCATAAGCTTTCTTCTTATGGTGTATCTGGAAACATCTTTAAGATTATTGAATCCTTTCTTTCCAATCGTAGTATAAAAGTTGTCCTTGATAGACAGCACTCTTCTTCTTATTCTGTAACCTCAGGGGTTACAGAATAAGAAGAAGAGTGCTGGGTTTTAATTTACATTAACGATCTTCCAGATATTCTCACATCTAAGGTGGCATTTTTTGCTGATGATACTACCATTTATTCTTGTCACGATAAGAAGCGAACTCCCTCTGATTGCTTGCAGGGGACATCTGAGCTTGAAAAGGATCTCACTTCTGCTACAGCATGGGGCTCACAGTGGCTGGTGAACTTTAATTCAGATAAAACTCAATTTATTTTGGCCAATCGTTATCGCAATAATTTAGACCTTCCTATATTTATGAACGGTAATGTACTCGATGAGTCATCGACCCTTCATCTTCTAGGATTAACTCTCACTTCTGATCTTTCTTGGAAACCTTATATCAAATCCGTTGCAAAATTAGCATCTGCTAAAGTTGCTTCTCTTTATTGAGCTCATCACTTTCTTACTCTGGATTCTATTCTCTATCTCTATAAATCTCAAATCCGGCCTTGTATGGAATACTGTTGCCATATCTGGGGTGGATCTTCTAATGATGCCCTTTCTCTTTTAGACAAGGTGCAAAAACGCATTGTAAACATAGTTGGACCTGCTCTTGCAGCCAACCTTCAACCTCTGTCACATCGTCATAATGTTGCTTCTCTTTCTCTTTTCTATAAATACTATAATAGGCACTGCTCTAAAGAGCTAGCGTCTCTTGTGCCAGCTACTAAAATTCATTCTCGTGTTACTCGTCATTCAATCAAGTCTCATTCTTTTTCTGTTACTGTTCCTAAGTGTTCCAAAAACTCTTATTCGTCTAGTTTTTTTCCTCGAACATCAGTTCTTCGGAATTCACTTCCTTCATCTTGCTTTCCTGATTCATATAATTTGCAATCTTTTAAGTTGTCTGTCAATCGTTATCTTGCTCTACAATCTTCATCTTTTCTCTTCCAGTAACTTCCAACACTAATTAGTGGTTGCTTGCAGCCTTGTTGGAAGCGAAGATAATTAAAAAAAAAAAAAAAAAAAATGTATATATATATATATATATATATATATATATATTTATATATATATATATATATATATATTTATATATATATATATATATATATATATATATATATATATATATATATATATATATATATATATATATATATATATATATATATATATATATATATATATATATATATATATATATATATAACGTTCATGTTTTTATCTAATATAATTGATGCAGCATTAACGTTGAAAATACAAGTTTTATACAAAAAAATACATTTTTTATGTTTTGCAGTAATTCATTCAAATATAAAATTTAAGATCCTGGATTTATTTAAAAATGGAGGCTGAAAGAGGTAAACGGTTTGCATAATCTAAATCATCACACTCAAATTGACTAAGATTGATTATTGTATACCAAGATATCTGCTGAAATTTTTGTTGTCAATGTACAGTGTTATTATTGGTTGTTTTTTAATTGCTATCATTAGTTGATTTTTTTCTAATTAAGTGCTTATTTAAATACCCATGTTTCATTCTCTTGAAATGCAAAGGTAGAATGAAACTCTCACTAAAGGTTTTTCAATAAAATATTTGTGGAGGTAAATAATATTATTATATTTATTATTATAAATAAAGCTTTTTAGAGAGCCAAATACAAAGTGGCTAGTATCACTTGTTTGGGGTGTTTCTTTGCTACTTTTACTGTTGCCTTTATGTCAACTATTATTATATATCAATAAAAAATTTTTTCTTTTAGTATGGGTATCAGAGATAATGCTTCAACAGGTATAGTATGGCAATTTGAATCTCTTCATATATTTGTACCACCCACTTATTTATTTAAAGTAGTTATGAAGTAGTATTTAGATAACAATTTGTTACTTGTTTGTATATGAATAGTTTTTTTTTTTTTATTTGTATGTGATTTTTATATGGAAAAAACTTTCAATATTGTAAATGTTGAAAAGTAGTTGAACTTGAAATAATATAAGGTTAAAAAATTAGTACAAATAATGCATTAAATAAAAATCTAGTAAATTACAAATTACAAAATCCTTTATGGATCCAGTCCGTTATTTCCATATTGCAATATTAAATTTTGTAAACAATATTACTATATTGTTATATTACCCTTTTTGACTGGTCAGCATAGTTTGAATTATTATTTTATTCTTTGACAAAGTTTTAACAAAGGGTTTAATAAAGGCTTTGTTGATTTTTGATTTATTTAGATTATTTTAGCTTATTTAGATTTATTTGATTAATTATTATTATTTAGATTATTATTTAGAAAAATTATTATTACTATTTAGATTATTTGATTTTTTTTTTTAATATTGCAATTAAAAATAATCTTTTCCATTTTATAATTCGAAGAAGTTTATTATTTATGTGTAAATAAATTACTTTTAAACAAAAGCATCAATGTTTAATTTTTTTTTCACAATACCATTTTATGTTTGTTTTATTATATTGTTTTGCTGTTAGTTTTTTTTGGTAAGTAATACTTGTATTGCATTTGCTAGCTGCCCTAAAGGTAAGATTTAGGAGACAATCATTAATTGTATAGCAATTAATAGCAAGATTAACTTAAAGCTGTAATGCAGCAAAAAAAGAGTAAGTATCATAACAAAATTTTCTTTTCTTTTCTTTTTTCTTTTGTAAAATAAAAAATTGGTGAGAGTTTTTTTTTATGTTGATTAGTGATTAAGAATTTTCATTAAAATAATTGTTAATCATTAAACTAATTGTTAGTTTAAAAAGTGATATATTAGCTCAATCATTTTCAAAATAATTTTTTATAGCAATTATTAAATATATAGAAATAATGCTTTGCTATTGCATCGCTACAGTTTAAATAAACAGCTTGTTTAGAATTTAATTAGAAATCTAGTTTTTGTTCTAGATGTCAGTAACAGCTCAGTTATTAACTGTGTCAAATGTGGTGTTTATTTTGTTTAGACACAAGTTGCTACAGTTATTAACTACTATAACAACTGGATGAAGGTAATATTTATATAGTATTATTAATATTTATATAGTATTATTTAATATTTATATAGTATTATTTAATATTTATATAGTTTTATTTATATATATTTTATATAGTGTTATTAACGGTTGATGCATAAGTTATCAGAAAAAATTTTAATTCAATTTTTCTAGCTAGTTTAGCATGTTGTTTGTTGTGTAAAAAAATCTATAAAATGTTTATTTTATTATTTAAAACAAATTTATTAAAAATGAGGTTAAAAATGCAGCTCAACGAAAATGTCTCAAAACTTTTTTTAGCAGAACAAAAATGTCTCAACCAAAAAATATTTTTCTTTGTAAAAAACCATAAATTAAAGAAAAACGAAAACGTAAATCATTTCGTAAAAGAAGAAATAGTTTAAAATACAATCTATGATAACTTAAAGTTTCAAAACTGGTCATTTTTGTTTTCTGATAAAAAGCATTATGTTCATCAAAAATACTAGATTAGAGAAAATAAAGCCAAACTAATGAGACTTGTTAACAATGGAAAAGGGTCAGTCAGAGAAAATTGTTTTTTAAATTCGATGTAAATCAATTGAAAATTATTTTAAAATTAAAATTAAAAAAAAATGAATATTCAATACAGATATTGTACAAAGACTCCCAAGTACACCATTGAATAACAAATAAAGGCAAAGAGAAGAAGTAGAAAACTTAATTGATTATATAACACGAAATCACTTTTGATCATTGATGAGGAGAAATAATAGAGATAAAATAAATAGAAAAGCTGGATAATACACAGAAATCAAAGAAACATGCCAAGAATGTGTTTGCTTTGTGTGAAAAGAAGGTTATTCAAAAAAACTATCAATGACGATTACCGTTTCTAACCACCGTATGTCTAAACCATTGTTTTGTACTTCCAAGGCTGTAGCAATCAATACATCAATCTGTGTTGATAAATGTTTAGAAACACAACTTTTTCCATTTATTCACAAGTATCATGTCAATTTCTACTCTTTATTTTACATTTATAACCAGATTTTGAGATTACTATGATGAAAATCTGCATTTAAAACAAACGATTTATAACTTATAACAAACTTCAGTATTTCTCAATCTCTAACTCAGACACTTTGTGACTTGTTTTCCTGACAACCCTTTACCTTCTCTCTTTAATTTATGTCTGGTCTCTAATCCTATCTTGTTTCAGTTTCTCCTTTTTCTCCCTTGGATGATTCTGACCAAGCAATAATTTCTTTAAATTTTTTATCTTG